CTACCTCTTGAAATGGTTGAACATGAACCATTTCCTTTTGGTACAGTGACTCTGTGTATTCCTTCCATCTTCTCTTGATGCTTTCTGCATCATTCAATGATTTGCCCAGAGAATCTTTCAGTAACAAAAGTTGAGGCTTGAATTTTTTCTTCAGTTGCCCCAGCTTGAGAAATGCTGAGCGTGTTCTTTTTTGGTTTTCTGATTTCAAATCTTTGCAAATTTTATTATTCTCAGCATTTCTCAAGCAGAAAGAACTGAAGAAAAACTTCAAGCCTCAACTTGCAGTATGAAGGATTCTATGGGTAAAATATTGAATGATGCAGAAAACATCAAAAGAAGATGGAAGGAATAAGCAGAGTCAGTGTACTAAAAATAAATGGTGGATGTTCAAACATCTCAAGAGGTAGCATGTGATCAAGAGCCAACGGTACTGAAGGAAGTAGTAGTCCAAACTGCACTGAAGGTATTGGTGAAAAACAAGGCTCATTGGTAGCGTAGTGGATTAAGAACTGAGTTGCTAACTGCAAGGTCAGTAGTTCAAATTTACCAGTTGCCCGCTGGGAGAAAGAGGAGGCTTTCTGCTCCTGTAAAGATTTACAGCCTTGGAAACCCTATACAGGGTCTCTATGAATCAGAACTGACTCCACAGCACATAACCAACCCCACCAGGAATTGATGGAATACAAATTGAAATCTTTCAACAAACTGATGAAGGCACTGGAGGCATTCATTCATCGATGTGAAGAAATTTGGAAGACAGTTATCTGGACAACTGATTGCAAGCGATCCATATTTGTGCCCATTCCAAAGAGAGGTGACTCAATGGAATGTGCAAATCATTTAACAATATCATTCATATTACATGCATGTAAAATTTTGCTGAAGATAATTAAAAAATGACTGCATCAGTATATAACAAGGAACTGCCATAAATTCAAGTTGGAGTGAAAAGAGGATGTGGAACTAGGGATATCTTTACTGATGTCAGATGGATCTTGACGGAAAGCAGGGAATACCAGAAAGATGTTTACCTGTGCTTTATTGACTACACAAAGACTTTCAGTTGTGTGGATCATGACAAACTATGGACAACATTGTGAAGTACGAGTATTCTGGCACACTTAATTGTGCTCATGAGGAACCTGTACATAGACCAAGAGGCAGACATACAAACAGAAGAAGGGGTCATTAAATGGTTTAAAATGAAGAAAAGTGTGTGCCAGGGTTGTATCCTTTCATCATACTTACTCAGTCTGTATTTTGAGCAAATAATCTGAGAAGCTGAATTCTGTGAAGAAGAACGTGGCATCAGGATTGGAGGAAGACTCATTAATAACCTGTGATATGCAGGTGGTACAACCTTGCTTGCTGAAAGTGAAGAAGACTTAAAATATTTACTGATGAAGATCAAAGACCACAGTCTTCAGTATGGGTTGCAAACTCAATGTAAAGAAAACAAAAATCCTCACCACTGGACCAATAAATAACATCATGATAAATGGAGAAAGGATTGAAGTTGTTGGAGACTTGATTTTGCTTGGATCCACAGTCAAAACTCAAGAAAGCAGCAGTCAAGAAATCAAATGATGTATTGCAGTAGACAAATCTGCTGCACATGACCTCTTTAAAGGGTTCAAGAGCAAAGGTAATAGTTTGAGGACTGCTATATCTGACCTAAACCATGGTATTGTCAATATCTTCATTTGCATGTGAAAGTTAGACAATGAATAAGGAAGACCGTAGAAGAATTGATGCATTTGAGTTATGGTGTTGGAGGAGAATATTGAAAGTACCATGGACTGCCAGAGAACAAAACTGTGTTGGAAGGATTATAGCCAGAATGCTCCTTAGAAGGATGGTGAGATTTTGTCTCTCGTACTTTGGACATGTTATCAGGAGGGACCAGTCCCTGGAGAAGGACATTATGCTTGTTAAAGTGGAGGGTCAGTGAGAAAGAGGAAGATCCCCAAGGAGGCAGATTGGCACAGTGGCAGCAATAATGGACTCAAGTATAGCAACAATTATGAGGATGCTGGCAGGATCGGGCAGTGTTTCATTCTGTTGTTGATGGGGTAGCTATGAGTTGGAGCTGACTTGACCCTGATTCGACAGTACCTAAGAGCAACAACAACACTGGATGCCTGTCACTGTTAGAGCCGGGGCAGTGTTGAGGACTAGATGTGGATGAGGACAGTGATCATGCTGACTCCCTGGTTTTAGGGTATGGTGAGTGCTCAGAAAGAGAGGTGGAGGTGGAGGGAAAGGACAAGGGTAGTGGAGAGGCTAGGATGTGGGCTGAGGTGCTTTTCCTATGGAGAATGAAGCTAAAGGGTCAGAAGGAGTTGGAGAGTCTTGGGAGGAGGCTTTAGAGAGAGGGAACAGCACGTGCAAAGGCCCTGGGGTAGAGTGTGGCTGCTTTTTCAGGGAAACAGTGGGGAGACCTGCAAGGCTAGAGTGGAGTGAGCCAGGGTAAAGGTGGACAGAGATGAGGTTAGGGGCATGGGGAGGGGGCAAAGACTTACTACAGTCCATGGTGAGGACTTCAGTGTTCATTTTGAGAGAAACAGGAAGCTACAGCAGGGGTTTCAGCAAGAGAAGGAGGTCATTCACCGATTTCTTTCTTTTTTCTTTTTCTTTTTTTAAAGTTTTTATTGTGAATTGAGTGAAAGTTTACAGGGCAGGTCATCCGTTTACATTCAACAAATCATACACCTTGTTTCATTGCAATGATTATAATCCCCTCCACGTACTATCAGTTAACAGTATTTCTCTTTATTCATTTTAACTTTTTTTTTTTTAACACTCATTTTATATTAAACTGATGTTCTAACCACTCACTGCTGCTACAGGGAGTTTGGGACAGTGAGGATTCTCCCATGGGGACCCAGGCTCTAAGACTGAATGGCTTGCCTGAGACCCCAGAGCTAGTCAGTACTGGGACTGGAGTTCAAATGCAGGTCCCCTGACTCACAGGCAGTGCCATTTCCGGTAGACTGCTGCTGCTTCCTTCTGCCTTTGCTCGCTTTCTGGGAGGAGGCCAGGGCCAGGGTTGGGAATGGTGGTGTGTGCCTAGGTCCATCACCATCTATCCTTACAGAAGGAGAACTACCTCCAGGATCCACCAGACTTCCTACTGTGGAAGTTCACCCTTGAGTCTGACTTCAGTCATTCATGCTGCGTGTGGCTTAAGTCCATTTTACCTTGGAGTGGTCTCTTTTTAACTGGGCACAGATTTTCTGAGACTTGAAGATTTGGGCAAAATGGGAGACACTAGTTCGGTGGAGCCTGGTGGGTCTTGGGTACTGTGAACAGGAACCCTGATTTAGGTCCTTCCCAGCTCGGGCCCACCCTGGGTCTAGGACTCTACGTGAATTGGGAGTTTTGGAGGTGTGGTGAAAGATGTTCAGAGTGGGCAGCAGGGGCCCAGGAAGGGAGAGCGGGGAAGGAGGACTTTGGGGTCTCATGGAGAAGTGACTACATTCTGGGTGAGGACCACAGGGAGCAGTCTGGCCAGAGGAGTGGGAGGCAGCATGGAAGCACTGCCCACATCGCCATTAAGAAATGGTCCCCAGAGCTGCCTGGCCACAGGAGATATTCTTTGTGGGAGGCCCAAGGCTGAGCCCCGTTCTGCTTGGTGTAGGACCTGCAGGGCTGGTGGGAAGCCAAGGACACGGGGTGGCCAGTCAATAGTACCCACACTGCACTGGCGCTGTGCAGGCTCCATATTCAGGCCTGGACCAGAGAACCAGGCTGGGCTGGAGGGGCGTAGGGGGGGGCGGTGGGGAAACAGTGAAGAAGGGAGGAGTCTTGTGTTCCGAGTTGGGAACTGGTCTGAGGGGAGCTCCCAGGATGGGCAGGGGAGGAGGGTTCCTGGAAGGTGATGGCTCGGTGGGGTTTGGGCCTTGGGATGGGATTGACTCCAAAGTCCTAGGAAGTCTGGGCAGGACCCATTCTGAGAAATCCCCGTAGGAAGGAAGCTTCAGGAATAGGGGCTATGCATATGTTTGTGGTGGGGGTGGGGAGTATTAAATTTTAGGGCCTCTGAGCGCTTTGTCCTTGACCTGGTGTGCACGTGGTTTGAGTGTGTCAGCATGCTGGTGATCCTGCTGAACTGCGTCACACTGGGCATGTACCAGCCTTGCGATGACATGGACTGCCTGTCGGACCGCTGCAAGATCCTGCAGGTGAGGCCGCCCCTTTCCCGCCCAGTGCCCCTTTCTCCGCCCCTTCCCCCGCCCAGTGCCCCTTGCCCCGCCCCCCACCTCTCCATCCGAGGGCCCTTGGCCTAGTCTTTCACACTGATGCCACGGCCAGCTTCTTCCTGAGGCTTGTGTCCCGTGGGAGGTGTCAGCCTGCTTTCAGAAGGCCCCTTCCATGTGGGCTTCTGAGTCAGACAGAGTCTCCTGTGTGACCTAGAGCAAGTCACTTAATCTCCCTGAGTCTGTTTCTTCATCTGTGAAACAGGGCCACCCATAGAGTCACTGAAAAGACAGAATGCAGGCGGAGTGTCTAGCTCAGGTTGTTAAGTGCCGTCGAGTCCATTCTGACTCTTAGCGACCCTGTACAGGATTTCCAAGGAGCGACTGGTAAATTTGAACTGCCGACCTTGCAGTCCAAAGTGGCCTTGTGGTTAAGTGCTTATTCCATGGAGCCACACCAGGACGCTCATTGTTGTCAAGTGCTGTCGAGTCGGTTTTGACACATGGCGACCCTGTATAGGGTTTCTGACCAGTGACTGGTGAATTTGAACCGCTGGCCTTGCAGTTCAAACTGACCTCGTGGTCAAGTGCTTATCCTACAGCACCACACCAGGACTCCCGGACTCTGATTTTTGTTGTTGTTATGTGCTGTCCAGTTGGTGGTACTTAGTAATGCCCCCGTCTTGACACCGAGGGCCATTGTCATTACATCTGATCTTAGGAAACATATACAATGGACTGTGTGGCCTTGGGCAAGTTTGTTTCCCTTTCTGGGCCTCAGTCTCCTCATCTGTGGAACGGGTGCATTGCACCAGGATCTCTGAAATTCTCTTCTTGCATACAAGTGTCCTCTCTAGGCTCTTTGCCCCATGCCTATGCCCCTAGCCCACCCCATGGGTCCAGTTCTTACTCCTCACATTCTTCCTTTCCTCTCCACTTCTTCCTGCCCCTCCCTGCAGGTCTTTGACGATTTCATCTTCATCTTCTTTGCCATGGAGATGGTGCTCAAGATGGTGGCTCTGGGCATTTTTGGCAAGAAGTGCTACCTTGGAGACACGTGGAACCGCCTGGATTTCTTCATTGTCATGGCAGGGTAGGTGGTTCACTCTGACATCATTTAAATAATCCGTGTTCTGTGCGATAGTGTGTGGAGCCCTCTGGACCACTTGGGTGGAAGAAATGATGCCCTTTTGCTTAATGGTCTGGATAGACAGACATCCTTCGTTTTCTCTTTGGTAAACTGCGTGTCTTTCCCACCTGTCAGATGATAATGGGTCTGCTTTGTCCTTGTGACCACAGGAAAGTTACTTAACCTTCCTAAGCCCCAATATCCTCATTTGTAAAATGGGGACAGGACAACAATAATGTGTGTGTGTGTGTTGTGTTTAGGACCGTGAAGTCGGTTCCGACTCATGGCAACCCTGTAAAGGGTTTTCAAGGAGCGACTGGTGGGTGTGAATCACCGACCTTGCAGTTAGCAGTCTGGTGCTTATCCTACAGCACCACATGAGGACTCCTACCTGCATCAACAGGAGCACCTAATCAATATTAGCTATTATTATTAAATGAGATGCTGTTTGTTGTCAAAGAAGTGTGGGTGGTGCTGTGGGCTAGGTGTTGAGCTGCTAACCTCAAGTTCAGTGGTTCAAATCCATTAGCCACTCCGCAGGAGGAAGATGAGGCTCCTGTGAAGATTTACAGCCTCAGAAACGTTATATAGGGTTGGAATCCACTTGGAGGCAGTGGGCTTGGGTTTTTTGTTTTTTTGTTGCTGCTCGTTGTCAAGTCAACTCTGACCCTTTCTGTGTCAGAGCAAAACTGCTCCCAAGGGTTTTGTTTTTTGACCTTTAAAGCATTTTATTATTTTATTTTGTCACTATTGTTAAGAATATATACAACAAAGCATCCAGGCATCCAGCCACTTTTATATGGACAATCCAGTGGCAATGGTGACATTTTTGAGTTGGACACACATTCTTGCCCTCTTTCTTGGAGTTGTTCCTCCCCCGTTAACACATTCACTGCCCCCTGAAGGTAATGTGTAATCTTGTTAGTTGCTGTTGTCAATTTGATCCCATGCAGATAGTTCTTAAAAGACAGAACATAATACTCAAGGCAGGCTTTTTTTTTTTTTTTAACTAATTAAGTTAAGCAGTGATTTACTTCGTAGGGTTTTTCAATGTGGAGTTTTCAGAAGTAGATCTCCCGGTTTTTCTCCTGAGACACGTGTGGGTGGACTTGAACCTTCAACCTTTCAGTTCACAGCAGAGCGCCATTCCGTTTGCACCATTGAGGGTCCCTATGGGTACTCAGTAGGCATCTTAAGTCTTCCCTGATTTCTGAGACAACCCTTGTCAAGGTTTCATTTTCAGAGAGTGAAACTAAAAGAAAAGGAAATGGGCACAAATCTAGAATGAACATTCTATTACAAATATTAACAGATTTATTCAACTCATTAATGGCGAACCAGCAGGATGCTAATCAACATAATTAGGGCAAAAAGGTGTTGGAGAAAGAAATGAAACTACAGTGGGTAGGATTGAATCAAGACTGGTTATTGACCTGTGGGGGAATAAACTATCACCTTTGGGGTTTATCTTTTCTAATGCATAGAAATTTCCACCAGTCAGAAGTCTACAGATTAACTTGTAATTTCACAGTGTCTGGACCTTTAGTAAATTGTTGTTGTTGTTAAGTGTCATAGAGTCGGTACTGATTCATAGCAACCCTATGCACAACAGAACAAAACGTGGTCCTGCAGCACTTTAATAAATAGTAACCAGTAAATCAAAGAGAGGTGCGTGCATTCCTTAGATAATTAAATAATACTGCTATGTTAAATAGTGCTCTGTTAAATAAATCTGTTAAACAATGCTTCGAAAACGTCATGGCAAGAAGTACTGTCCTTCCTTTGCCTTATTCCCAAATTTTAGCATACATTTTCCTATTCCTGTTTCTGAGCAGACATTGACTCTGCTGGCCCCACTTGCTGCCTCCCTTGGACACCCCCACCAGCCCTTGTAACTTGAGGCGTCTCCTTGATTGCTCCGTGATTCCCTGCTATCTGCTCATATCTACAAATCAAGAGAATGAAGATCTAAGCAGAGCAGAGTTGGGAGCTGGTCTGGCTTGCACACATGGCAAGACCTCAGGATGATGACTTCTCTGGGTTCTTGGTGAGGGGGCAGGTTATGGTGGGTTACAGGCTGGCATAGTCCCAGAGCAGGGGGCTGAGGGCCGGGCTAGTTTCATGCTCTGTGGTTACCATTGTGAAATTCTTAATAATTTCTGAACAAGGTTGCTGGTTGTAAGTCAGGTTCAAAGGAGAGTTTTTCTCCAGAGTTTTGAATACTCGTGAGTCCAGCCGTGTGTACCTCACCTCTCCTCAACACCCTCTCAGTCCTGTGTGCATAGAGCAGGAAGTGGCTGAGATGGCATGGGTGGGGAGGGCGAGACCGAACTCTAGAGCCCAGACTTCCAGTCTCATTCCTACCCTGGACCCATCCCCAAAACTGCCTGCCCGCTCCTGCAGTCCCATCCGACTTGGAGCTATAAATGTTCCGTTTCCCGAGTAACAGGCCTGACATCTGAGGATGTTTCCTCCCTTTCTGCCCCTCCCCTTCCCCAAATTACTGGCTCCTTCCTCAAGCTGTGGAGGCAGACACAGAAACTCTGAGCTGGAAGGTTCCTTATCGGTCACAGCCTTCAACTTCGCATGGAGTCTAATTATCTTGTCAGGCTGAGCTGGGATCCAGAGGCCAGTCCCCTACTTGCTTGCTGCCACTGCAGCGAACTCACTACCTCACTCACAGCAGCCAATCCCATACTGTTGTTGCTGTTAAGGGCCATGCAGTTGGTTCCAGCTCATAGCAACCTTGTATAGGGTTTCCAAAGAGTGGCTGGTGAGTGTGAACTTGTAGTCTAGTGCTTCATCCCACAATGCCACACCAGGTCTTCAATGCCATATTAGTCCATCACCTGATGGGTCACCCTCGTTTCTATCCCTTATTATTGTTAAGTGCCATCGGGTCATTTCTGACCCATAGTGACCCTGAATAGGGTTTCAGAGGAGTAACTGGTGAACTCAATCTGCCGAGCTTGCAGTTTAGGATGTGGTGTTTGGTAGAGGGTCAGTAGAAATGGACACAATCACAACAACAGTGGACTCAGACATTCCAATGACCATGAAGATGATGCAGATTCTGATAACATATCCTTCTGCTACACATGAGGTTGCCAGAGATGAAGCCAATTACGCTACCTAACAACGCCTTTCTAGAAAATTCTTTCTTCTACCAAGCTGAAATTTGCCTTATAGGAGCCCTGGTGGTGCTATGGGTTAGGCATTGAGCTGCTAAATGCAAGGTTGCTGTTCAAACCCACCAACCATTCCTTCTGAGAAAGACGAGACTGTCTGCTCCTGTAAATGTTTGCGTTTACACCCCCAGCGTCGCTAGGAGTGGGAATTCACTCGGTGACAGTGGCTTTGGCTTTTAACTTTTTGGTAACTCCCACCTGATGGTATCATTCATTCACTGAATCAATATTTATTGAGCATCTAGGACATACTAGACATTGTGCTGGTCAGCGACATACAAGGATGAATGAGACAGATGTTGTCTGTAATCTCATGGGACTCACAGTTGAGAAAACAAATATAAAACAAGTAATTCCAAATGGGAATCAAAGTTGTCACAAAGAAGTATAGAAGGTATAGATTTAAGTTGGGACTGGGGGGCTCAGGGTACGCTTTTCCAAGGAAGGCTGAGTGAGCGCTGACCAGGATGTCTCAGGCAAAGGGAACAGCATGTATGAGCTGGGTGTTTGAGGAAGGGATGGGAGAGTGGAGAGGGTGTTGGAATCTAGGGGTTTGCAGGACCTGGGTGCTGAGTGATGAGGCCAAAAAGGTGGGCAGGGGCCTGATCATGTGAGCAGCAACCAGAGGCTGCTGGGAGGGGCATCACCAACCCACAATAGCCCTTCAGAAGTTGGAAGGTGTCTTTTTGACTCCCTGAATCTTTCATTTTCCAAGTGAAATGTCCCCAGTACATCCCACCAGGCTCAAAGGACAGCAAAGGGTTCCCGGAGGACCCTTGCTGTACTTGGTTCTGTCTGTCATCATCCCTCTTGTAATATGATAGGGGAACAGGACCTCACCCTCCCAATAGGGCTAGGGTGGGATGTACTGGTTAGACCCCAGTACTGAGTAGAACTGTGGTGATTTGTGAACTGGCTGTGTGCCCTCCAAGCCTGATCTCTCCCACCACAGACCTAACTGCAGCTGAGTTCTCAAACCTCAGTGCCACACTGTGCATTGCTCTCTATGATTTCATCCTTTAGCGATTTCTTGGCGTCCTGCTTTGCCCACTCATTGCATTTACTTCCTGTGCTTGATCAGCCCAGGACAGAGCCCTGTGGCACCTCACTAGAGACTCTGCTAGGCTTAACAAAGCCTTGGCAATCATTTCTTCTGGGGCATTGTTAAAGCCACCTCCCTAACTTACCATTCAAGCTCCATTTTCTACCATTGTCCATTAGGGGATCATGAAATATTCAATGATATTACCTTGTTGAATTCGAGATACCCTTTATCTAGACATCTCTCTTGGTACCTCATGCTGGTCATTCTGCCTCTTCCCTCAACCCCCCAAAAGTGAAATGAGGCCTGGGCATTTTATGCCTGGACTCTGGGGTCAATCAAGGCTGGGGGGCTGGGTTGCGGGGACTGAGGCAGAGCCAATGTGGGCCTCACCTTGGATGAGAGTGATGAATGGGAGGCCCCTTACATCTGAAAGCTCTCTAAAGCTTTCTACTGCCATGGTTCCTGGGCAGCTGAGGATGAGCATAGGCAGATGGGTAATGTGCACCCTTCCCTCTCCTCATATCCCTGCATGGTCCTGAACGCCTGCTCAGTGCTTCTCAAACTTCCAGGAGAAAACAGGATCACTAACATGTTAACATGCAGATTCCTGGGCCTCTTCCCAGGGATCCAGATGTAGCAGGTGTGGGACCTATGAACCTGCATTGTAACCAGCGCCCAGGTGGCCCTGATGCAAGTGGCCTGTGGGCCCCCCTTGGAGAAAGCAGTTCATT